GTATTACATATGAACAGTTGATCTAAATATTTCGAAAACTTTTTTTTATTATGAATATTTACTTTTACAATTAATACTCCGTGCATCGCATGGGTGCACTACTAGCGTTGTCTCGGGTGAAGAGTAGATCTGGAATAAAGATTTTAATAAAGGGCGAATCCGGTGAGTTGTCCAGTGTTACTAGCAACGTTGTGTACAAAGAAGTATTCGAAAGAATATAAAGGTACACATTGGCAAACACATATATTAGTTTTATTTATGTTTAACGTTGTTTTTTTCAATATGCTCATACATATATACATATATATCAAGGTTGTAAAAATCGGTAATCGGGTCCGACTCGGTCAGGCACCGACTCACGATTAATCGGTGCGGCGGTGATTAATCGGTGATAAATCGGAAATAAATCGGTTTTTAAAATTTAATATAATATATTTGTAGATATTATTTATAAATACTCAAAACATAGATAAAAAATATTTAAACATAGTTATATCTCCATTATGTATATATTCTAATAACATAATAAAAGTTTAATAATAATAAGATCATAATAGATAAATATCCTTATAAAATATAGATAAAAAGGCAATTTTTTTTGAATTTACATATATTCTTGGCATACATCATTAGTTCTTTAACAATAATAATTAACATAAACAAAATAAAGCATAAACTCCTTTTTTTTTTTTTTTTTTAAATTCCAACTTTTATTTTGATTTATAAAAAAAAAAAATCGATTTTTGACCGATTTTTTGCCGATTTTTGCCACCGAAGTTTGACCCGCCTTAAAGGTTTGACCGCCTCGGACCGACTCAGACCGCCTCGGACCGCCTCAAACCGCCTCAAACCGGCTCACAGGCAGAAAACCGATTTTTCAAACCTTTACACTAAAATCGTAAAGGTTTTGGACCGCCTCCACCTAGGCGACCGATTAATCGGCCGCCTCGGCCGATTTTTAGAACACTGATATATATATATATATATATATATATATATATATATAAGTATTCGTTATCTACGTAACGTCTTTAACTTATATATTGAAAATGTGGAAAAATAACAAGTTATTTGTTCTCCTATCGTATATCTGATTGTAGTTTCATTGTCTCCTTTAACAACAATAAGATTCATGTGCAAGACTGGTGCGATGCTTTGATTTCAGTATGGGAGTTACTTGCTACATTTTAACGTGGATGGTTTTTAGAATGTTGTCAGTTTATTCTATATGCAAATGTTTTATTGATTGATTAAGATACGAATTTTTATTTTTTTGTTCGGTTGTATTCTTAGCAATCTCGACATAATTTTTCTTCGTTAATTTTATACATTAACTCATTTTAATGTTTTTAATTTATCCCCGTGCATCGCACGGGTGAGTTACTAGTTGTTATTTATATATATAGATATTCGTATTGGTTAACCCTATATTTAATTAGTTGTTATTTTCGTTAATATTAAATTTGTTTTGTATTAACTTTGAAGCAACACTTATAATTAATATTTTTAATTACATATTGGCTTTCAAGTAGTGCTGCTTATTCAATCAAATTAAATAAGCCGTTGATATATATTTACATGCATGACCTAAATGGAAGAAGTCATAATAATAATGACTGCTGAGCATATTGAACGGATATACTATTATTAAAAAACTATTGTACGAATTAGCTAAGTTTTTGAAATGAGCTGTATATATATACACATATACTTACTACCATCTACTAAATTTAAATTATAATCAATTAATTATAAACCTTTACCAACTACTTAACTTGTCTCTTTCATGAATTTTCTACGAGTTCTCTCTTTAGATAATTTAAATAAAATTAATTAAGACGACCATAATGAATACTGAAAAGCATAAATACCGATTAATTGAGATAATATTATAAAAATTCCGATTAATTCGTAAAAAATGATTTGAAGAAAAAAATACTACATATGTATATGATAAATTAAAATACTACAACACTAAAATGAAAAATACCGCCCACGACAATAATTTCGACTTCGTTCCGATTTCAAATTATTAGGCAATGTTTGGTTGTGTTTTTATTTTGTTTTAATTAATTTCCCAAAACAAAATTATATTTATTACACTTCTCAAATAATTTTCTCAGAAACAATCTCAAAAGTTTATGTCTCTTTCAGGCATGATGTGCCTGCTACAGTAAAAAAATGTCTTCACTAAAAAACAAATAAATATCACTTCAGCTTTTAATTTTTTTCTTCTAAAATATTTTTTTCTAACACTATTAAACATAATGTGATTGCTACAGTGTATTTTGCTTCCTTCCAAAATATAAACAAACATTACTTTCATTCCCAAATTATTCCCCCAAAACACATTTCCTCAAAATGAAATCAAAATAAGTTCCAAACGCTTCCAAACATTACCTTAAGAGATTCATAAATCCATAAATAACAAAAAAAAAAAAAAAAAAAAAAAACACTAAATATTTAATCACCATCCTTAATTTTAAGACAACAATTCATTGTCTAGCTATGCATGTAAGACTACATATAGTATCAAAAACAAAAGTAAAAACTATATATATAGTATCAAATATATATATTTTCCTTGAAACATATTAATGTGTGAACCACTACGGTTCCGCTAATGCGGCCGAGTCAACATTTTACATGTCACACACTCACTCCTCACACACACAAACACACACATATGAACAAAGTCGAAAAATAAGAAGGGGAATAAAAATTAAAAAAGGTCGAAGAAAATTCTATACAATACCGGATCCGGCAATTCTTCATTTTATTACGTATTTGTATGTAACGTCTTTTTGCATCACGATGAAATTTGAAAGATCGATCAGACGGTCGACACCTCATTATCGTCACGTTCGAATTTTCAGCCGAGGTAGTTCATATTCATAAGAGCGGAGATAGGCATCAAACACAGTCCCCTCGTCCTAAGATCAACAAATTGATGATCAATATTGTTTTTGCTCTCAATCGCATTATTTTTATTATTCCCATTTTTCTCCTCCGTCGCAACTTCCGAGAAATTACTCGCACCGGTTTGTTTGCCCTAAACCCAAAAACAAAAAAATATGAAAAAGAGCTCGATCGTAAATTAATACTTGATAAATTAATAACCTCACTTAAATAATAGTTTCTCTCAGTCCCGACTCGGTGAAAATATGTTAATTATTAACTCGATAATTTAATAATTCACTAAATTAATAGAATTTCCATTGTCTCAACTGTATTAATTTATAGAGATTCAACTGTATTTCTTTTAACGAAAAAAATAAAATTAATATACGACGTTAATTACCAGAAAATTGGCAGCTGCAAGATCATCTAATCTTCGGTAGTTGACCTCCATCTGCTTCATACTGCTAACCTATATTCAATAATTAATTCAGACATCAAATATATATATATATATATATATATATATATATATATATATATATATATATATATATATATATATATATCATAATAATTAATTTAAAAAAACCTAGAAATTCTTAAATGATATGTATATATATATATAAAAACCTTGGGACTGTTGACAGGAGAACTAGCAGTATCTTCGTAATCATCTTCGGCGTAAGAATACTTTCGATATTTATTTCTTTTCAAATTCTTGAAATTCAAAATCCTTAAAGGAGAACTTATGTTGTTGTTGTTGTTGTTGTTGTTGTCGTCGGAACCATTCCATGCTGCATCGGAAATCAAAGAAGGGCTGCCAAAAGAATTAATACTACTTCCGCCGCCGCCATTGTTCATGGATTTGGAGTATGAATAATCATCCAAATAATCAGTCCAACCACTCTCTTCTTCCTCTGATGATGATGATGAAATATTCTTATTATTATTATTCATCAAATAACTCTTGGTCATAGATGAACTCATGGAGGAAGAAAGAGAGAGAGAGAGAGAGAGAGAGAGAGAGAGAGAGAGAGAGAGAGAGAGAGAGAGAGAGAGAATAAATGGTTGTTGCTTTGCAGGTATAGAGTTTTTTCTTTTTTCTTTTTCTTTTTGTTTTTTTTTGTTTTCTTGATTATTTATTTTGTTTGTGGAAATTATTAGTGTTGAGGATGATTGTGTAAGAGGGGATTTATATAATTGTTTAATTGGCCTTTGAATTAGGATGTGAAATTTTGGAGAAAATAATATAGGGGTGCCCACCATGTGGAATCTTGATGTGGGCCATTATATATATATATATATATATGGAGTTGAAGCGGTTAAAGATCAGTTGGGGGACTTAAAAATTTCAATTAATTACTGAGATTGGTTGACAATTATATGGAATAAAAGTTGGATAATGGTATATTTTTTATATTTTTCATATTTTTTTTATATGGTGTTGGGCTGCATTTGGTCATATATTGGATTTGTAGCTAAGTATTCTAAATTTATTTGAATATAGATAAATAATGTTTCAATAATTCATTTTTCAAATGCATATTGTTATTTGAAAATGCGAATTCTTTCCTCGAATTCAAGTCCTCCATTTTATTTTATTTTTGTTGTGAAGGAACCTACAGCCAATTCCATATAGGTGCATTTGGTAAACATACACACTCGTATAATATCTTACAAACTATACGAGATATGTAAACTACGCTAGATCTAACGGGCCATGTGTGACAAGTGCTCGATCTAGCGACCATTAACAATAAAATTCGAATTTTGATCAATTGACAAAGACTCACTTACTCCAACCGTTAGATTATTCTTTACAGAACAAGTCCTCCAATTTTAAATGCAAGCTAAGTGTAAAATTGGTACTACTTTCTTTATAAATGGAGATTGGGTGAAAGTGACTCGCCACAAAATTATATTGCTATAATATTGCTACAAGGACATTTTTTTTTTAATTTCATACCTTCACAAGCTCTCTTTTAAGACTTAATTATTAAATTTGATGGTGGGAAACAATTTTTATGTGGTGGAGATAACAACACTAGATCATTTAAATGCAACCAAGTGGTGGATAGGTTATAAATTGTGATATTCGAAGGCATCGCCCAAGTTTCTTTTTTTCTTTTTCTTTTTTAAGGGATTAAACAATCTTTTCAAGAAATTAAATATTAAATTACTTTTTCGAGAGTTTAATTATACATCATACGACTCTCAATTGATCGAGAGATTAATGTAATAATTAAGCTCTCGAATAAGAGTTTAGTTGGTGGAAGACGACGACTGATAAGTGTTCATTTTGCACAACTTTTACTTATCGAATCTTCGAGTTTTGGTCTTCGTTCGTCCGAGTTTTCGGCTTTATTTGTACATATTATGCGTTTCTTGTTTTATTTATATTTTAGGTAAAGAGAAGCTATTTTTGCCGATTCGAAACGATTTTGGAAGCGAAGCCGAAAATCAAACCAAACACGTGCAAAAGTGCATTATCGCGGGTGTGGCACTGTTTCGTATTTCAAGCATAACTTTTTCATACGACCTCCGATTGAGCTGATTCAAGTCGCGTTAGAAAGCTAACTTCAAGATCTACAACTTTTGTGAAATGCAAAATTGTCAAATTCAGGCTAGAAAGGGGTCAAAACAGTGTTTGAAGTTGGCGCAGAAGACCAGATCGCGATCCAGCCTTTCTGGATCGCGATCTGGGGGGTCTTACAGAGAGCAAATTGGGGTCAGATCCAGATCGCGATCCATCCTTCCTGGATCGCGATCTGGGGGGTCTCACAGTACATTTTTTGATGAAGAACCAGATCGCGATCCACCATTCCGTATCGCGATCTGGAAAGGCGGTGCGCAGTTTCCAAGGCTGTCAGATCGCGATCCAAGAAGCCCAGATCGCGATCTGGGCACAGAATTCGAGACGAGATATTTTTCAATGATTTCTTACTATAAATAGAAGGTCTCTTATTCATTTTAGAGGATCTCGACCAACTCTCGATTATCTCTCGACTTCTTCTTCGGTTTTCTCTTCGGTTCTTGCCAGTTCTTCGCGGGAAGTTTCGACGAGGGTTTCGACTCGGGTTTTACATAAGCTTTTCTTTACGTTTAGTTTATAATTTCTCGTGTTCTTCATTTTGATGCTATGTTTGTAATGAACTGAGCATTTTCTTTTAGGAAAATGAAACCTTGTATATATTGATTTTGATTTCCAGATCTGTGATCTATTTGTCGTTCTTTGATTATGTTTATGTTTTCATGTATTAAATGCTTTCGATTGTTTGGCCAACAGTTGAATTGATTGTAAATGGGGATGAACTCGAGAGAGGATTTCTCGTTTGATTTTAGGAAAACATAGCTCGGGTTGTGGAAACGGAGACGTGATGCACCTCGGGTAGCCCTTAAGGACTTCACCTAAATGCTCTCTTAATATCAGGTTCTGAACGGAGACGTCGGACCTATGGGTAGACTCTAACTACACTGGAGACGGGGGTTAGGGTACTTTAGTGTCTGGGTTAGCGAATATAGAATTGACATTAGATTCGGATTTGTAGATCTTTATCGATAGTACATTGGTGGATTTTACCCTAAAAGCCATCACACGTCGGAATTCCTCGCTTGTCCTGGCGGACCGTTGTTTTTATTTTTGTTTTCTTTTGGCTTCATCTCATCTCCCATCTTTTTCTCCCGTCTAGATAAAGTTTAGGATAGTATAAATACGGTACTTGGTAGATTTAGGGAACTTAATTCCCTGTGGATCGATATCCGGAATT